TAGGACATTATCTTCACCGCAGTCGCAAGGCCAGGTGGTGGTATGGACCGGAAGTTCGTGGAATGAGAAGGCCGACATTTCTTCGCGGACACCGGACTGGAAACTTTGTACTGCTACAGCATTGAGTGCCAGCACATGGAATCGAAGGGCATTGGAGAAACTCTCGGGTACTTGGAACGGAAGGGGGCTGGGTACCTAAAGAAGATGGAATATCCAAGTAGGTCACCTGACCTGAATCCCCTCAATTACCCGGTTCGGGCGGAGTTCAATAGGGTGGTCTACGGTGGCGGAGAAATCGACTATCTCTCAGGCACCACATCGCGGTCGCGTGCCAGAATCTCTCGATGGCGCTCGTCCAGAAGGCTGTGGCGGAGTGTCATGATAGTATTTAATATGCTCTTTAATATGGTGGTAGAAATGTCCGATCAGAATTCAATAAAGTGTAACTTATAGCGCCTCGAAAGTCAATGAAGAAAAGTGACTTTTTTGGCCCTCCTGTAGATAGCAAAACTGCAACCTGCATTTCACAAGCACTTATGAGCAGGTAAAGTTTGTAATGGTGCAGTAGGGTGGAGGCTTGGTGGTGAGCTGTGAAGCATAAGCGAGGAATCGCATACGTCGAATCGAGTCGTCGAACGTCGAACCTTACCACTGAACCACCACGACTCGATTCGACGTATGCGATTCCTCGCTTATGCTTCACAGCTCACCACCAAGCCTCCACCCTACTGCACCATTACAAACTTTACCTGGTTGCTTGTGAAATGCAGGTTGCAGTTTTGCTATCTATATTTGTAAATAACCTTATAGACTCTATCGATCTACCCAGGTCTCCATTGAGAGTTCCATGGTAAGTTGGCGGACCTCTCTAGTTAGTAAGCACTTGCGCGTTACCAACTGGATCTCTCACCGAGCGGTTATTTCCAACTACTCACAATTCAGAGAGATGCAACATACCTGAGTCGTTCTATGCTCACAAATCGGAGTGCGTTCCTCATGAAATGCAGATATCGTGGAGGTTTTATGGCTATTGTTTGTTTTATAGTAAACGCATGGCTGGAACATAACATCATAGGAGTAAAAAAAATCAAGTTTATTCTGTGAAGGCAATGGGCACAACTGCTGGAGGTGGGTGGTTGTTGCCAGCGTCATTGGTGGAAGGTCTGAGAGAGAGGGCCTTCCCCCCACTCAGCCCTTTCACCAATGACGATTCCGACAATCGCACGCCCCTACGTTGTAACCACTGCCTTGAAGACATGCAATTAGTCTCCAGCGACCCTGTCCCAAACGTCGCCGAGGACCCGTTTTCATCACAAAGTTGCCATGTCAACCAGAAATCTTGAAGGCAGTTGGCACGATAAATCCCCAAAGACGAGTAGGATTTATATGCCTGGCAGGGCGGATTTCCGCGACCCTGAGCAGGCCCTGCATAGCAGCATAGCGGTTTTTCCGACGGAGGTACCCTCATAAAGGTCCTATCGAGCTACAATTGCTTTTCCGACCCAACGCCTACCACGCCCACCGCACAAATGACGACCCTACCAATGCTTCGTGCTTCATTGCTCATTTAAAACCATATTGACAGCGAAGAGATTGCGTACGACCAGCCGGCTGTGGGTGCACTTAATGGAATCACTGATCACATTACAGTGCAGTTCCTCAGCGACGGTCGGAGCGGATCCAATGCCCTAACGCTGCGGCGATCGCGGCCCGACAGTTGCCTCGGGGATGCCTGCTAAACGCTCCCTCTCATTACCCTGCCACTCTGCGCTCTAAACAACGCGCCGCCGCCAACCGTCGACCACTCTTCCGACTAATGGAGCTCTTACCGAGTCGTCATTCTCTCGATCAGCTTGATTTCCTTTGCCGCATTTTTCGCCATATCATTATCCTGCTCATAGTAATTCATTTGATAAAAAAAGCTTGAAATTTTTCGACCTCTTGCTATTCACATAGATTCGAAGGTGATACTCTTACTGAAATATTCACATGTTTTGCTATGATAATTTTACGCCATAACAATCGCGCGGAAAGAAAAAAGATTGAATTGGGAATTTTAGCATGGGAAAGCGAACCATTAAAGCAACTTCGAGCTTCAAAAAAGTGTCAGAGATGGTTCTTTTCGGATAAAATAGCGAGATCATCTGAGACACTGCTTGAAAACCTCTCCGGTCAATATCTAAATAAATGGGCGATATTAGGGAAACTTTGAACCAATTGCGAAAAACACAAAGAAATACAACGTATTCCTAGGGGATATTTCATGCAAAATTATTCAAAATGTCGGAATACTTTCAAGCGAAGGGATACTCAACCTTTACAAACATTGAGGTCAAAAAGTCGAAAATTTCTACAGCTCTAACAAGCTGATCTAGCAATTACTGCGAAAATGCGGGCAGAATCAGCTGACGGAGAGCCTACATGTCGCAATACCGATCGGTAAGTGACGTCCAAGGCGAGAGGGAGACGCGTGTGCGTTGTGTGTTACGATCGCAGAAGTGCAGAGTAGAGACGGAGAGGCAACGATGATAATCTCCCGAAAATTTTCGGGCTTCCCATCGACACGCAAACACCGGAACGCTCGCCAGCGTGGTCGTAGGGAACGCCCCCTACCTGTCGGTGAGGACTCAACTTGTAGATGCAACCGCACCTACCGGAGCGGTTATTTGCAATACGCCAACGGGAAACTCGTCCGAAATCGCTTTTCAAGAACGAAGGCTTTTCTTCGCAGTTTTAGACCGTTTCACTTCGTTTTTCGCCATTTTCCCCCCCACTAAATAGCGCTTTGCGAGCATTTTAGGCAGAGTTCCATATTATCGTGCCAACTGCCTTTAACGAACCCACCGATTTGCTGCGAAAAACTCGAGCTTTTTTCTCGCGTTATCAGCTTCCTCTCCGACTAATGTTATTCGTTCTTGCAGTAAATCAACGTCAATCACAGCTTTTCCACGCAACATCCGACGGATGAATTCGACGTAGTTCGCGCCATGCCTTAAAAAATCATAGATGATCTACTGGTGAATCAGAAAAAAGGCATTTCTACAGAAGATAGGGCAATTTTAATTTTCTACTGACTTCACTGTATTTAAAGTTCACCTTCTCGAAAAGAAAAACTAAAAGCGGCAATATCCGCTTCGAAAGAATGTTTCTTTCAGCCGTCTCATAGTCTTCAGCAGCGGCCCTCAAAATTTGCTGAAAGCAGCGCTCTCCACAACGACCCAGAGAGCAAAGAAAGATTTTTCTTTCATGACGCGCATAGGTTGTGACGCACAGGATGACAAGGTAAGCGGAAGACCTAAGGTCGCGTTCATAGCTTGCGACCGTGAAGAAATGCAGAAATGCGGAAACTGCAGAAGTGCGGAATCTGCAGAAATGCAGAAATGCCGAATGCGGAAAATCGATACGTATCGGTTGCTTTTCGTCATTTCTGCAGATTCCGCATTTCCGCACTTTCCGCACTTCTGCAGTTTCGGCATTTCTGCATTTCTTCAAATCGATACGTATGTAATGCTTTTCGTCATTTCTGCAGATTCCGCATTTCTTCATTTCTGCATTTCTCCATGATCGCAAGCTATGAACGCGAAGATGTTCCGGAGATGCTCCTTTACGGGAGAGGATTCTGTAGTTCAACCTATCCTAACAGCGGCCAGAGCGGCAACAGAGGTGTAGCGAATACAGTTTTTGTTCACACAGTGCTCAATCGATTCAGGGGTCTTTTGCTTGCCAAAAAGAACGACAGTTCGAGCACAATGCCGAGTCCTGGACGTTCCAAAGTGCATCCAAGAGTAGAGAACTTCCATGCCTTTAGCTTCTGGCTGCGCGCTACTACTACCATCGCGAAAGGGTGAACACATCTACCCTCAGTACTACCGCTCAGTACTGCTTGCAATCTTTCTGTGAACGTTGCAGACACACTGAACACTCTCCTCAAAGGGTCCTGATCCTCGTCCTGGCCATGCGTGAGGTGAATAGGTCCGCAGCAGCACCAGCACGCCACTTTTCGCGTTCAAAAAGGCATGCGAACAGGG